TGTGATATGTACAGTTATATCTATAACTTTCTATTGCAGTATTTTCCCAAGTACAAATGTACCTAAGTAAATTACACTTTGAAATATTATTTAATGCTATTTTGACATGACGTATATAAACTTCGAATATATTATTATGATAGGACTATATTGGTTTTGAATTATTCCAAAATAACAGCATATACAGCATGGCTTATTAAATTTTCGACAGGATAAACTCAAAGGGTGCGTGCAAGAGACAGTGTGGATAAAAGTTAGAGAATATGAATGGAAATCGAAGTCATATTACAGAAGTTCTATGAAAATACGGATAAAATATTATTAAAGAGACTCTGTACAAATATGAATAATGATAATATTATACAGAGTTGACTCGTAAATCCGTAAGAACCGATAGTAATTAATAATATCATGTCTTAAGAATTAAATGAGGAAGACGTTTAATAAGTTGTTTTTCTTACACAATATCATACAGTTACTTATATATTATAATGTGTACCAAAATTACCCTACAAAAAAGTACTTTGAGTCTAATCAATATTTATTTTTAATTTATAAAAGTTTGAGCTGCAATTAGCTACAGTATATATTTTTTAATTCTTAGCTGAGCGATGAATGTATTGATTTTAGAACGATGTGTGTTATTTTTTTATTTTTGTGTCTGTCATCTCTGTACTGCTTCGATTTTTTTCGATGTATGTTGTTCCATGGGAGAGTAAATCTAGTTGGTGCGTTCAGGAGGTCATAATTTAAATTTCTCAATAGTTTTCAAAATCTCAGGGAAATACAAAACAAAAACTAAGGAAAATTGGTAATTTTTTGGTGTAACTCTAAAACAAATATATGAAACTTTCATTGAATGTTTATATTTGCATTTTCTATACACGATAACATTTTCAAAATTGTTGAATTTTTTTGAGCAGTTTAAGGACATTCTCAGTTTCCAATTTAATTAGTTTTTTTTCTTTAATTATAAACTAAATCAAAAATCACGAAAATTTAAAAAAAGGCTCCAAATATATATTGTTACATGATAGTTGAAAAATATTAAAAATAAATAGTTATATTTATTTTTATTAGCATTTAAAGTTCAAATTTGGACAAAATACGAACGAATCACGAACATTTGCAAATCATTTTGAGTTAGAAAATCATAAAAATGTTGCTTCTTAAATCTAATATTTGAAAATTTAATTCAAGGTTTCTCTTAATTTTTTTTACCTTATAAAAAAAAATATTTATCTGAAAGGCAAATTCAATTTTTATAAGCCAGAGTATATTTTAACATACTAAGTACGTGGATGTACCTACGGAACTGTACTTTTATGTACCTACACCACTACACCAGTGGCTTAGCGTGTGTACAACAACTATTTCAGTACCTTGTAATACCTAGTATAATATTTTGCGGATTATCTTCGTAGTTCATTGTGATTGCCGATTGAATTTAATGATTTATCCACAACACCACGGCCGCGCCTCGTTAAATTCGTTAAAACCTCACTATATTAGTGGCTATAGTACCTACCTATAACTAACAAACAATCGAATTATTCAAGAGAGGCTATAAATTCATGAATGTAGGTATATCGCTCTCGATGGGATTAGAATAACACTGTTTGACCCAGGCCTGCATGTTGCTAAGTTTCTGGAGTCTAAGGTGAGAAGGAGGAAACTACCTGACCCAGATCTATACAAGAATCAAGAAATTATACAAACATTTTTTTCCATCGATTCAAACATGCAATTTTCAATTTTATTATATATTTGTTTTAAATACAGATACTGATAACTTTATATTATGTACTCTGTTTTACTTATTTTATCAGGTTTTATTATTGAAAAATCAGTTACTTTGATATGTGTCTCGGTAGAGATAAAAATATATAAAACTTATAGATATATTTTCAGTAGAGTTCAGTTATTAAACCTATATTAAAATTGTTGTGATAGAAGAATTTATTTCTCTTCTATGTTCGTCTGGTAAAAAATTTTATTGAAGTGCCACCCAGTGAAAATTACTTAAAATATGCTCTGTTATGACTTTATGAGCGTTTCAATTTCAAATTTTTAAAATATTGGATATTCTCTCGATTGCTTAGAGATTTTCATATATTGTTGTAACTCAAAATCGAATAATTGTAGATACTTGAAATTTACACCATATGTTTATTTTATCGTTTCCCATATTTGATAAAATTTTGAAAATATTTTGACTGGCTGAGCGGTTTACCGACATTTTCAATTTTCAAATTTTTAAGTTTTTTTTCTATATTTGTTAATAATATTTCGTTTGTTGAATCAAATTTAAAACAAGGTTCCACGTAAATAGGTAAATAAATTACTTTATTCACAATAATATCATCAAAAATACTATGATTATTTTCTCTGAAATTTTTCTTGTAAAAAAAATTATTGACTTTAATGTATAAGAATTAAGATTTAATTGAACACATTTAAATGTAATTGTACTATATTAATAATTTCAATTTTGTATTCCCGTATTTAATATACGTACCAACATACTAAATAATCTACAATATAACATAATTGAGTGAAAAATTGTAAAACGTTTTTTAACACATTTAATTATTTCAAAATCTAATAGTGGATTAATTAGTTTCTGAAGTTAACGCAGTCTAATAGCTTTATGGCACGTTAAATATTTCAAAAATTACCTTTTTTGAAGTATTATTTTTCTCAAGATAAGTCTTAAGATTATAAACTACAAAATAATGATAGAAATTCTGTGTATTGTCGTACAACATTATTTTATTTATTATTATATTTTATATTTTATACACATTATGTTCATAAATACCGTTTTAAGAATGTAAGAAAAAAAATAAATACCAAATTATGTCACATTGAGATCAAACATGATGATAAAAATATTAAATACGTCGTTAGAATTTCTTTTACTCAGGGGAAAAATTATTTTAAACATTAAATTGAGAAATATTATCGTATTATCGTGTACTTAAGTTATATTGTTGTTAAATGGGTCATGAATTTTATTATGACTTTAGCCCATGAAATATATTGCAGATTGTTTGTGCTTAGAAAATTCGTGAAATATAATTTAAGGGTTGTGATTTCTTGAAATGTATTTTCAATATTATAAATTATTCAATTATAACAACATTTTATTAATTTTAGTAAGAAAAATTATATAAAATATGTATTTTACAATTATGAAAGTTAAACAAAAATTATATTATGTAGGTACTCGTAAAACATTTTTCCAGGTATAATTGAAATTATAAACAAAAGGTTTATAATTGTTGTATTCTTCATGGTAATTTCATAGTTGGATCTGCAAACTTAATTCATCACTATTTTATATAAAATACGTTACATAAGTTTTGACTTATATAATCCAAGCCATCCACAACTATTAAATTAACAGAGCTTAGTCATTGACTATCCTAAAGCTTCTATGAATGTTTCGATAATACTTTTATGGACTAGAATAAATTATTAATATATAAAAACATTAAGTAATATGTTTTCGAAGGTCCTTTATTATAAGTACCCAGTCGATCGCCTAAATAGGATATCAATATTTGTTGTTACGGAAAAAATGATAACCTAACATGTTTGTTTTGATGTAAACCATTGTTCATTATTGGGTTGTTATTACTACCTACGTGTACCTATATAGATATTGTGATCTGCCGATATTCCAGTAGTTGGTTATTGGTGAATAGGTCGGATATCGAAAAAACAATAATAATATCAACTTGTACATAATAATAATAATAATAATAATATAGAGTTACCGTTAATAAATATTTATAAATCGTTCGCTACCATACCGTAGTCCGGAAGGGCGTTCCGGGTGTTGGTGATTTCCGAGTGCATAGAAATTTCTCAACATGTACATAATATACTATATGTATTATAAATAGACGACTAAAAAAATATATTATTATTATAATAGCTTCATATTATGTAGTCTCGTATAATAGTCGCACTAGACTGAATAGAGTTCGGCGAGATAAAATATAGTGGAGCCATAATATTAAATCGCGCGTCGGTGGTGAGAATACACCATTTTGTTCGTCTCGTTATTGTAGACTTACCTACCATGCGCGGGAAAGTTTCAAGTTAACGTTTCCGTTTCGGGGTGGACGACCAGCGGAGAGTCTAACTCGTGAAAAAAAATCACTCCCATTAAGTTAAGTCCATCATAGACATGAAATCGACCATTCGAAAATCCATTATTATTATTATTATTATTATTATTATACGTTATTATTATACGTGTTTGACCCCTTAACGACTATAGGGACCACTGAACCGTGGCGCGTATTTCTCTGTACTGGAAAACGTCGAATTACTAAGCGTGGCTTAAGTACACAATTATAAAGTTTTAGAGGAGTGCAACCCCCTCCCACACGCTGGTCGTTGGCGCTTCTCCGTAGTCCGTCTCACAACGACACACACAAGCACGAGAATAAGGTATAATATTATAATATATTGGTCGAATGCCATTTGTCACGCATGTCCTTCCCGCGTTGAAGAAACGCAATAATTTTTGAAACTATGAGTTCTCTCGTTTGGACGAAGGTCATATGGTAATAATATAACCATTGATCGAGAACCTTTATTGTTAATGGGACAAAATATAAACTCATAACGGTCACCAGATTCGTTGTATTTTTGGTGTCATATTATATTATATATATGTTACAGTAAATTATGTTAAATTTATATTAACGTTATTAACTAGCAATTAACTTTAATAGATAATAATTTATATTTTACATGGTTTATAGCGTTAATTACTAAGGATTTACTTTAATTCCAAACAATATTAGTTGATCATGTTAATTGTATTCACATTTTTGTGTTATTATTTATTTTCACATGATAATGAGCTATGGAATTTCGAATTGCATAATTTCCCAACTACTCGACAGGTACATTTATTTTGTTTTACACTTCATCTTACGGTGACATCTTTGATAGCCTTGTGTGCCCATACGACTATTACATCATACGGCTTCTCGAAGTGTTATATCTTTTTCTTTAGATGATTCAAGCAGAGTTTTGAGATCAAGCAAAATTTCTTTGCATGGTACAAGTTGAGATATCGTATACTTGTGTTTAAGAAAACCATTTTCGGTACCTAATTCAAATATAAATACATGAATACCAGAATACCTACAAATTAAATTTTGTATTTTATTTTACTTACATAATTTATAAAAGCCGTTGTCAACATTAGCAATAACTGCTAATAATTTTTTGGGGGATCCACGTGCTCTGTCAACGTCATGTATGGAAATACGAACAGTTGTTCCGACTTCCAACTCTTGATATTTTTTGTTTGATTGTGTCATCATCCTTTCGGCTTGCTTTTTTAAACATTGAATTGAATTATTTCTTTCATTTGTAATATTTTCTTAAACATAACTACTTGTTGTTAGAAACAGGACTAAGATATTGTAGGTATTAGAAAATATCTGCACCGAAGTACTAGTCTACTGAGGATGTATGTACTATCTAAAACCATTATGGTAACATTATAAAACAACATTTTCCATCGTTTGTAGAAATTAACGATAATCAAACCAAAAAAATAAGAAACCATGATAATTACTGGTTTGTTAGGTAACTATTGTTATTTGCTAGAAAATAACGTTATTTTGATGTTTAACATCATTTACTGTAACATATATATATAAGTGATAATATATATAAATAGTATATATGGACATTCACTTTCGATATTAATAAATTAACGGTCACTCCACTCGACCCGATCTACCAAATTGATGAATCTTCAAAGCCAAGTGCAAAGCAGGAGAGATAAAAACGGTGTATAGTGGCAGGTTACAGTTAGTGTGTCGTACTGGCCGGGCTTAGTACATACAATTTATTTAAACCAAATTGAGGTCAAGATCGCGTTTGCTGACGTTAAGTCGATGGTTTTCAACCATTTTTTTCAGAGGTTAGTTTATTCAGTGAGAAACGGTTGACAGAAATAACAAACCTCCTTCGACCCCCACCCCTCTCAAAAAAAAAAAAAAGGAATTTATATCAATATTTAAGTATTGTTCTTCTATCTTCAAAGTAAAAATGTATAATATAGGTATTCTTTATAAGTACTAGATAACACTGCCTAATGATATTTAATTTTTGATTCAATCATAATTTGCTCGAAATTTAATCCTTGACTTGCACACACATTTCGTCACAAAATTTAAGTATTAAATATCAACATAATATTAATTATGTGTCTTGTCTAATATGTGTGGAGAATTTACGTTCGTGGTTCGTCATCACTGATCTATCGTTGGATATATTGCCGTCGATCTTTTGAGGTGAATATGTGATAGCTAAAGGCTATCATAATGGTAAAGATTTGTGAATCGACCTAGTTATCCTAAGCAAAACCTATACCTAAGCAAAACCACTACTCGCGTTATATTTTAGATAATATTATTAATAATAAATAATGATGCATAATATATAGTAACTTAGTGTTTCCCAAACTGTAGGCCAGGAGGTTGTGAAGGGTTTGTAGGTTTATATTGTTCTTATTTGAAATATTTTCTAATGCGTTTATGAAAAAAAAAAAAAAAACATAATTATTTTCGATTATCAAATTTAGTGGTTGGTCATTTATTATTAAAAATAATAAAATATTGCATCGAATAAGTTTATCCGGCTTCCAAAGTTTTCACCAATAATGGTAATAATCTATCAAATGTACACTAAAAACATATGGATGTATTTTATTGCTTGTCTTATATGAATACTTCAGTATGTGTTCAACGAATTAAATTTAGTATCATAGGTTGGTAGTCGTGAAAATAATTTGCAATATTCTTTTAAGTAAAAAAAAAATTATTCTCATTATGTGGCAGTAACAGTTTTGCATTATAAAACAGTTTGAGAAGCACTGATATCCTGGTAAAGGTTTTCCGAAAAATCGAAACAATGTCGTTGCATTAGGAATTTACCCAAAACGTAGGTATACAAACACAGCTCTCGTTTAAAATCCGCGTGCTGGTCGCAAAAATATTCATTTATTATAATCTCCGTTTAATGCGACACAGTGTAAACGCTAAGTGCGTTCTTTATTATTATAATCTATGTTTTAAATTTGCGACCGTCAGTAGTTTTTTTTTCATACTGGAAATATAATTAACAAAACAATTTTACGCCTTTTTAGGGTACGTGCGAAATACGGTTATTTGTATTCGTTGTGATTACATCGAACACTTTTACTCTTTGATAATGATATTTTTGTCATTATTGTTTGCTTAATAAAATTGGGTATAAATTATAATAAATAATATAATGTTAGCGTTTAAGGAAAATTAAAAAAAAAAAAAAAAAAAAAATTAACTGCGTGAGAATATTGATAAAAAGGTAAATTTGCAATACATTTTAAGGCAGCTGATAGGCTATAGCTATACTTTGTTCGTTATTTTAAAGATTCAAATGATTAATATTGAATTATTAGTATAACATATTATACAACAATATATTATTATTAAGATAGCATATTTTAATATGCTTTCAGTTTCAAAAATATATGAATTCATAATTCAAAAACACTTGAGTAGGTACATATTATTATTTCCAATATAATTCACTTAAATCATTTTTTTTTTGTTCAAATTTATAAATAAATAGATTAAAATTTTTTATTAGGAATATAATATGAACTATTAAAAATATGTTTACTATAGTTTTACCAATGATGTAAGATATTTATTTCAGACTCTGGGTATATTATTACTACTTTGTACTGATATATCCTTCAATTAAAATCTTATTAATCCATAATTTGATATAGGCACATAAACTGTATTAAAATTTAAAATATAATAAATATAAATCATTTTGTTTTTAAATTAAATTTTTATCATTATCTACAGTGGTACTAGGAATACAATAGTTCAGACCGTCGTAAAATAAAATGCATTTCAAATATTTCGAATATTTTATAATGTAGTGTCAAAACGATTATGTATATTTTTTTTTAGTAGATGGATTATGCAAAGTAGTATGACCGATGAGCTTAAAATATCGTCTCAATAAATCACACACAGCCAATAATCTTTGTAATTAAATAATAATTAGAATGAAAATGAACCGACATAATTGATTGGAGAAACAGCGATTACCTACCATTTAAATAATTGGTTTTCCAATTACGAGCAGTTAATAAAGCACTGACCACAAATTGGTACCTTTATAAATAAATTGAATAAAATCAGAAGATCGGATTCTCAAACTGAAATATTATGTTTTAAATTTAATTGTTAGCTTTCTTTAATTAAATCATTATCGGTTTATTTGATAATATTCTAAAAATCCTAAAATTATTATAAGAATTATCATGTGTGGTGTTAAAAAGTTTTAGACGCTTCTGTATTTTCGTTCGAACAAATACGATGTACTTTTATAAAATTATTTATGATTAACTCTAGTTTTGAACAATTCAAACCACATTGTATTATTAGGTAGACATTTATGGGTACCTCAATGGCTTGTTGTTTCACCATAATATAGGGCGATTGTAATATTACTTTTGTCACAATGAATACGACTATAATAAAGTTTATAATGATACAATATATTATGATTATGGTGTTGAAAAATGAATTACGTTTCCGATTTAAGGAATCGGATTTGGGTGTTTTAACAAAAACAAAAAAAAATTATAATCTTTATCCAGTTACTTAAGTTATGTAGTGTTTTGATAAGTGTTATCCAAACACAATAAATCATGTTACTAAAAAAAAAGTATATCTAAGATAATAATATTATAATGTAATTTATGTGCCGAATGAAAGTTTATTATTTATTGGTTTAGCACTCAGGCTGTTTAATGCTCAAGTAATAATAACATATTATATTATATTCTTATTATTTTACCGTCAATATTTCGTAAAACAATATTCAGAGAATATCGATTTTTTCATTTCAAAGTAAGTACGAAAGACAAACAAAACTTATCAACAATCCGGGATGCAAACGATTAAACAATATTTTAATACGACTGCACGGGCGCATATTATGCCTCTGGTACATTGCACAATATAATATAGAACAAACACCCACGTGATACCATTTTTATCATAAAAGTAAACAATGACAAACATGTTATGGTTTTTTATTTTTCATCATATAGTTTATTATTTCTCCAGTCTTCGACGCACTACCCATAAATACATCATCAATATATTATATATATTCACATGTATGATGACATAGCGTACACACACACCAACACACATACAAGGGGGCGTCCTCTTATACAATGCGATAAGTTATATTATTGTGTATACCTATATAGTATATAATTTCTAGTAAAGCCGAGTTTTAGCGTTGTCTGCGGTTTTTTTGTCGTCTCGCCAGGAAAGTAGAGAAATGTATATTACTCTTACCGTAGTCACATTTTTCACACTCACACGCATGCACACACAAATGAGGACTCGACACACGGGGTGAACCACATTTAACTTAAGACACTCATTATTTTCAGAACACAAAAAGGTTTTTAAAAATATATCTGCAGTATTATAATATTTTTTGATATTCATTATAGTTATTATTTGGAGTATTTCCATACGTAAAAATTACATTTTGGACAATACAGTTCATTAGTCATAAGTATTTGAAGTTTAGATTAGTGGAGTAATGAACCATCGTTTTGAGGGATATCCGAGTAACACTCCGCTCCAATCATCTGTTATTTATCACTCATAAGAAATACCAGTACAAAAGACGATTTCTATACGTCAAAAAGCCCCAAAAAATATTCTACATTGAAATAAAAAATAAAAAATACATGTTGTCATTAAAAATAGAATAATTTAATAAAATAATAAACGATAATCATAAGAAATAGTAAGAACATAATTTTTTTTTTTTAGAAATAATTATCTATTTAAGACTTAAAAGTATCTGAATTAAAATAATATATCTCCAAAAAAGTTGAAATTCGTTGAAATAATGTGCATCTTGGGTATCTTGGGTATCTCGGACAACCCCGGTATGATACGTGTATATTATTATGGCATTTAGGGTTTTTAACATGTATTTCTACATTCGTGATAGCAGAAGGCAAAATATTATGATATAGTCATCTGCTGTAAAAATAACAACCGTCGGGATATATTATAACGATAGCGATGGAACAGCTTCCGCCGAACGACGACGGAGCCGACGGACGGACATGCACTAGCGCCTGCCTCGGAGGGTTGCGGTACACGTCGAAGGGTGTCCGAATCCAGGGTGTGTGAAATTTTCATAAATTTAGGGTACAACAACCCGTTACCCGGTCACGCACAACGCACGCGGCGTCAACGTCCTTGTATTTCAT